CGAGTCAAATTGCCAATGAAAATGGTGTCTTCTCGGTGTTAACTGCATTTACTTGTGATAGCCACATATGCATATTTATATAACGTGCGTTGATTCTTTTTCCTATGGTGTAACAACCGCAATCGTTTATGTATAGCTTATCGACTGTAGAAAAAAAACTGTCCATTCCTGATATCAAAATTGCTACGTCCTCTCTTGGATTTGGGTACAAGCATATGTAAAAGGCACATGCATTTACAAATTCTGCATTACTACAGGGAAACGCCTTAACTACTTACCGCTCTGTGCCACGGAATCATGCAGCAAGTTGGCAGAAAAGTTACTATCAGCAAATTCTTGGTGTGACGTTTTCCACTTCTCTCTCGTCCTCTGTCTATAGTCGCTCGATTCGCCGGAGAAACTGCCACAGGCTTCTATTAAAGCGTATGAATTCTTTGTACCCTTTTATGGATTGAAGTATGTTTTACTTTGGGGGATAATTCGAATACAGAAATCAAAATCAGTGAGTAAAGACATCTTTAATGAAGCAAAAATAGATTCACAAAGGCAGATATAAAGCTCCAAGAATGAGATAATTAAGAATCACTCACTGGCATCTCTCACAGCTGATGTGTAAGTGTGTGTTGGGGGAGGCCGCTTGAATGTGCAACTGCAAGTTTGGTTGTATAGCATGGGAATGGCATTATAATGAGATAGATGTCAAAACTGTTTTTTACCCGAAAAGGTAAACTAACTGCACTCATAGATCTGAGTACATAGGTTTTCTTATGCAATATATATATATATATGTGTGTGTGTGTGTGTGTGTGTGTGTGTGTGTGTGTGTGTGTGTGTGTGTGTGTGTGTGTGTGTGTGTGTGTGTGTGTGTACATAAATATGTATGTATATATATATATATATATATATATATATATATATATATATATATATGTATATATATATACATATCTATGTATATATGTATACATACATATATGTATATATATACATATATGCATGTGTGTATATATGTATATATATATATATATATATATATATATATATACATATATATATATATACATATATATATACATATATATATACATATATATATATACACGCACCCACACCCACATACTACACCACATAAACACACACAAACATACATATATATATCAATTATTTATTCATTCATTTATTTACTTATTTATCTATCTATCTGTCTATGTATACATATATATAAATATATATATATATATATATGTATATATATATATATATATATGTATATATATATATATATATATATATATATATATATATATGTATATATATGTGTGTGTGTGTGTGTGTGTGTGTGTGTGTGTGTGTGTGTGTGTGTGTGTGTGTGTGTGTGTGTGTGTGTGTGTGTGTGTGTATGTTTGTATATATCCATGCATATAAATATATATGCGTGTGTGAGTGGGGTGGGGGGTTCTGCTACATAGAATTTTTATTCAAATATCAGCCATGTAGAAGAAAAACTAGCATTGTTCTGCACAAAATAAAAGTTACGATATGGAGCTAAAGCCAAGGCCAAGGGAATCGTTCGAGACAACTAAAGTCTACGGAAGTTAAACGCTATCCGTCAGAATTAAACATTACTTTTTTTCTGAATTATTAATTGATCCTTGTAAGTAAGCACGAACCATGGATATCGCTGCATCCACAGAAAGCCAACACGTAAGTTGAACTATAAATATATATATAATGTGATATAATAAAGCCAGAAAACAAGGTTTAGTTTAAGGTTTATCCTCGTAAGGATAAAGGTTTTTAAGCCATTTAATTTTACAATCATGGTATTCTTGAAGTAAATGTAGTCTGGTGGTGCTCTAGAATATAAAATCATTATTTACTCATCCACTTTCAGAGCTTGTTTTGAGATTGGCAAATGATACGGATTTAAAGAAAATAAAGAAAGAACAAGAAGAGCCAGGTAGATACTCAGAATGTCTTCACCTGGCCAATCAAAACCATAGTGGTATCGATGGAATCCTCTCTCTACAGTCCATATATATAGATATTATGCTGCACCCCCCCCCCACCCCAATACCCACAGTCTTAGTCCCAATACAGGGGAGGGCATGGAACCATGGAAATTAAATTGTCTGTAATATACTAAGGGTAATTCATTACAGTACCAATGCATTTGCAAGAGACAAATTCATCAACAGCTCATCTCAAAACTTGTTCGACCGTCTAGTTTCACCATGATAGGCATGGCAAAAGCTGAAAATCAGGGGAGCGGAGTGGATTACTATGTGAGTGGCACTTTCCATGATCTTTTCCCTTCATTTTTGGCGTTACCCTTTGTGGGTAAAGTTACGAAGAGCAACGCACAGAGACAGAGGGAAATGGGTCCTGCCTTCACATAGAGCATAACAAATAGAATAATAAACAACACCAGTATCCACAACAGTCTCATACTTACTGCAAAATGACAAAAATATCTGCTCCATGCAACCACTCATAGACTAAGTCCACAACAACCTCACACAGCCAGAGGTTTTAATGTTCATTTTTCATAAGTTGGCATGAAGTGCTAATAAAAGGATGTGCAGAGGGGCTTCTCTGTCTCGGGAATAAATAGAAGGTAGGAAAGGTTTGCCTTGGACTCTGGGTTCGCATGATAGGCTGGTTATAGGACTTCAACGATAACAAATACCCCATTCGTGTCTGTAGATTATTTTTTGTACCAATGACTGCAGCTTTTAGTCTACAACTATAACATCATTGTCAATTAGCCCTATCTTAGTGCATCCATACTGTAAAGAATAATGATGTAGAGAATTGGTCAGTATGTAGTCAAGTGCATGGGGTTGAGCAGTCCTATTGGGGGAGTTGAGGGATGGCAGTGAGTTATTCTATATATATTATCATTGAAGAGACATATTTTTTGTAGAGTATTTATATTTTCCTCCACAACTTCCCTAATAACTTTCATGCCCACCACTACTACTGGGGCCAAGCATATGGGGGTTTGGGGGGTTCTGCAGCAAATGTCCTACTTATATGGTTAATAGAAGGTTAGAAGAATCTATCGATACCAGTAATTGGTATTCTGAGCAACTACCAAATCTGAAAGAAATTTAAGGTCTGTCTAGGCTATGCTGATAAATATGATTTACAAATTTAATTTGCTGTTATATATGTGGAAAAAAAATAAAGATATTTTATTTCACAAAGCAAAATGAGCTATTGGTATTCTAATGTAAAAATCAATGTTTGTGGTATTTAAGACAAAAAGATGGAAAAATTATATTTCAGAATTATATTATGACACTATTCCTTAACAATGCTACCTTTTAAATGACTGCCAAAGGAACACAGCTACCTGAAATACTATATGCATTCGAAGGCTAATAATACTATCAACTATTTAATAAGCTATTCTTAGTGGCTCAGTCAGTTATTTTGACAAAAGATTTTCAGTTACCACCATTTATATCCCTTCAGAATAGAACTTATAGTTGTCCTTGAAATTTTTCACATAATAGAGAACCAGTCCAAGTTCATTCTTCCTAGACTATGCATATTGGTGAATGTTGGCCTTTCCCTGCAGCAAATGTTTGATGTGGCATTGATGGATAGGTACCTCTTCCTTATTTTTTACTTATCAAACAATATTGGTATTTTTATAAGATTTTCAGGCTACTGTAGGTTAAGGATTCATTAGTATTTAACTGTTTGATTTTGACTTTGTATAGCTGCTCAATTAGAAAGCTGATTATCATGGATGGTTTGAAATTGAGGAAAATAGTGAATAGTTCATTTCTCATGCTATATCAGTATGTCAACTTAAAATGTACTTAAAGTACTTTTTTAGAATTATGAGTTCAGAACATTGAACAAGGTTGATGGTGGCAGATTTTGGAAATCATTCATAATTTTTAATTTGATATACAGCAATTTAGCTATCATTGTTTACATGCATACATACATTTACTGACACATACATAAATTATCTGACTAGAATAAGATATATGTTTGATATTTAAGGAAGTAGATATTATTCTGTTAAGGCTGATACATAATTTTTTAGGATCAAATGTTAAGAGAAAGGAGGATTTTTTTTTCTTCTTCTTCTTCTTCTTCTTCTTCATGTAGGAAAATTAGAATTTGCTATTGACATGTGGGTATTTTTGTGCATAAACAGACCAAAGAACTTCAAGTCTTGGATTATGAGCTTCAACATTTGCAAGATAACAGAGTAAGTATTGGATTAATTGTTGTACTTGATATTGAACTGAAAAATAGTGTTCTTTAGTGATATTTTATGATGCAGATATAAATGCTATTAGTGTTATAGTTGTTACATTAGAATATTACTCATATAACACATTTGCTTTCTTCTGTAACAGTTTCACATTTGCATCTTTGTATCAGATTTATAATATGTAGATTTATATTCAGTTATAACAATTAAATTCCAAGCATATTTTTAAATTGTGTTCTTCTGGATTAGGATAATTTGCAAGTGAAGATGGATATGCCTTTAGTGAAATAAGATTTTTTTTTCATTGGTCATTCATTCTTCTTTCTTGTTTTTCAGAAGCTGTACCTAAATCAGCCAAACAGTAATCTGTATTTCCTCTGCAGTAAAGCTGAAGCTCACAGCCACTTGGAAAAGCAAAAGGAAAAGCTTTCAGAGATGAAAAAGAAAACATAGGATATTTTTTTCTTCTTTTGAATCAAACCTTTAGTAGATAATTCATTCATTGGAAAATCTGTATGTCCATGATGTTCAAGAATCATTTTTATTTATAAGCTTATTCCTTTGTTTTCTCTCTCTTTTTTTTCTCTTTTTCTTTGGTCAGTTTGAGTGTGAGAACAATTTTGTAACTAGTGTATAAGTAAATTAGTGTGTTGACATCAAATTTCAGACTAATTTTAAAATTCTGTAATTATTTCATACATATTTGTACCAACTGTTTTAAAACTTGGTGTATGCTGAGAATAAACATTGTGAGTTATAATTCATTTCATTGCTTATATGCTTTTAGATATGTATATCTGTATTCCTCCATATTGTTACATATGGATGTTTGAAGCTGAGTATGTGTCAGTAGTCTTCAAAGTACTTTTAAATAGATGCTTCTTAAGTCACAGTTATTGTAAAATCAGCAGGGAAATTTTAATTATTCTGAAATAATAGCAAGTTTTACTCAAAATCAGAACATAAAATGAGATTGGGTAATCATATCATGTGTATTTTGTTAATGATTTTGTGCATGAAATAAGATATATGGTGTTCCCCAAATTGCCAAAAAAAAATGTTCAAAGCTTAGACATGGATATCAAAATAAATATCTTGAAGGCATTTCTTTGAATTCTCTTGTTCTAGTATTTTTAAATCTAATAACATCCTCTATTCCTAGAAACTTAGAACCTCCTACCAGAACTTCCTTCAGTCCAATGGAGCTGGTAAAATGCTGTGCCAAGTTTAGTTGTTTTTTTTGTGAAATGGCTCTGCTTATACTTAGCCTCAAAGGAGTCAGTTAGTGATTGTTAATGATTTTGTGCATGAAATGAGATATATGGGGTTCCCCTCTAATTGCCAAAGAATTTTATTCAAAGTTTAGACATGGATATCAAAATAAATATCTTGAAGGTATTTCTTTGAATTCTCTAGTTCTAATATTTTTAAATCTAATAACATCCTCATTTTTTTGTGTGTGTGAAATGGCTCTGCACAAGATGGCTCTGCATGTGCTTAGACACAAAGGAGTTGGTTAGTAGACCTTGTGCCTTACCTGATTTCACCTTTCCTTGAATCTGTGGGAATTAATTTTTCCCTAATATTGTCAATATTGATAGTGTTATTTTTATTATAGTCATTATTATTACTATAATGTTATTGACATTAGTAACAGCAATATAAGGTGACAAAAGATTATTGAAGATCTGGGGAAAGGGTAAACAGATGAGACAGGTAGTACTTGTAACTGGCTCATTGGGGACTTAGTACAAATGGAGCCATCTGTGTGTAACAACAATTATTAAGTTAATTCACGGTGGGAATGGCATGTAAGTACATACCATGCCCATTGGTTTTGGGTTAACTTGATGAAATTGTTATAAGCACACATGTAATAAAAAAATGACACTAAAAGGACACAAGGTCTGATTACATCATTAGTAGTATTATCATACTCCTACTTAAAGGCATATCATTTTTAAGAAACTATTGATTTTATGGAACAGACAGTGGAATGATATACACAAGTGAACCTTAAACACCCTTTCATTACTTATTCTCTTGACTGATCTCCTGTTTCTGTGAGATGGAGACAATTATCAGTCAGGCCAGAGGTTTCTCAATCTTGGAGCAGTATCGGTAAGTTTACAAAGAATACCCTTAATACATAACTAAAATGTGGCTTGTTAAATATTGCCACAGTTCATTAATAAATTTGATTTGGTGAAGTACTTAGACAGTATTCATTACTTGGAGACAGTTTGAACAACATACATAGTGATTTTATGAAATACTATAATGTATTATTTCTGCTACTAGCTACTGAATATAAAGGCAGAAAAACAGTATTTGTACATCTACTCATGACTTCAACATAAAGATATGAATGGATATAACATACAATATATGTGTTGATGAGAATGCTAATTATGGTAGTAAACTAAAGTAAACAAAAGACAAAGATAATAAGGATTGATATGATGTGAGTTGTAATGAAAATATTACTGATAAATATGACTATTGCAGTAATCACATTAGTAACTCAAATGATAACACCAATAAAAAAAAAAAAGTTCCAATAAGAAACAACTGGTATTGTTAATTGATAATTATCAAAGCATTAATGGTGGTAAAAATCTTCATGCCATTAAGCTGATTATAATTATGTGGTTAATAGTAATGTGACTATTGTTACTAATATTACTATCGTTCATTTTGTTATATTTATTGTTATAATCATGTTCATTCCAAATTATTTCACCTCGCATCATTCCATGAAAATAACAAGAAATAACACCAGTAATAGTGAGCAAAAAAGTAACAAGTGAAACGGAATGGCCAATAATAATGGTAAGCATTACCATTGATTATGATAATTTTAGTAATCCAGATATAATAATGATAATGGTAATAATAGTGTTGGTGATGCTGATATTAATAATAGTAATAATGCTAATGCTAATGGTGATGATGATGATCATAATAATAATGATAATGGTAGTTTCAATGATGATAATAAAAATAATGGTGATAATGACAATGATAGTATTGATAACAATTATAATAATAATATTAGCAGTAACAACAGTAATAGCAATAATAAAGATAAAAGTAATAGTCATGATAACAAAGATTAATAATGACAATAGCTATAATTATAATGATAGTAAGAAAAATAATGATATTGATTATAATTATTATTATATTCATATTGATAATGATAATTTTATTACTTCTATTAATGATAATAAGAGTAGTATTGATATTAATAATAGTAGTATTGATATTAATAATAGTAGTATTGATATTAATAATAGTAGTATTGATATTAATAATAGTAGTATTGATATTAATAATAGTAGTAGTAGTGATAATGACAGTAATAATAATATTAGTAGTAATAATGACAATAGTAATATTAGTAAAAGGGACAATAATGATAATAACATTAGTAGTAATAATGATAGTGATAATTTTAATGACAGTGACAGTGATACTCATATTTATTATCAATATTATTTGGGTTTTTTTTTAACTATCATAGAAATAGTGAGGAATGTTTCTTTTATCATCATTGTTTAAATTAAAATGTTATTATCCTTATTGTCATTACTATTACTAAGTACTATTTTGATTGTGATTATTATTGTTATAGATTTTTCCATAAACAGATGATAATGAAATGACCAGTGATGTAATTATTGATATTATGGTAATTATCATTATTTTCATTATTAATATTTTTATCATTATTGTTATCATGTTTAAGGATATTACTCTCCTTATTATTATTACTGTTATTACCATTTTACTATAATTATTATTTCTGTTGTCATTATTATTATCATTATTATCATAATTATTATTATTATTATTATTATTATTATTATTGTTGTTAATTTTTTTTTTATTATTATCATCATTATTGTTATCATGGATTTTTTTATTTCTATTATTATTTTTAATTCTGTGTTATTATTGTTTTTCTCATTTTCATTATTATTATTATTATTATTATTATTATTATCATCATCATCATCATTATTATCATTATTGTTATCATTATTGTTATTATAATTATCATTATCATCATAATTATTATTATTATTATTATTATTATTATTAATATTATATAATTATTATTATTGTTATTATTATTATTAATATTATATAATTATTACTATTATTGTTATTATTATTATTATTATATAATAATAATAATTATTATTATTATTATTATTATTATTATTATTATTATTATTATTGTTATTATCATTATTATTATTATTATTATTATTATTATTATTATTATTATTATTGTTTTTGTTATTTTGTTGTTGTTGCTGTTGTTGTGACTATTGTTATTACTATTATTTTTAGCTTCATTATTATTTTTATCATTTTTAATGTTATTATTAATATTGTTGTTATCTTTATTGTTACTATGAGTTTTATCATAATTATTACTATCAACATTACTACTACTACTACTAATAATAATAATAATAATGATAATGATACCTCCACCACCACTGCTACTACTACTATTGAGATTATTATAGTTATTATTGTTATCATTAATGCTATCATCATCATAGCATCACCATCAATAATAATGTAGTAACAGTGATGAAAGTAAAAATAAGCTTCCATAGAAAAAGTTTGTAATATTGAAGTAATTAACGGTAATGGCAGCACTGACAATAGTAAAGATAACTGCAATATGTAATATAAATAATTAATATTATATAATATATGTAATAATATAATATATAATATAATATAATATGTAATATGTAATATAAAATCTTTATAAGATAAATACAACAACCCTGAAAAGTAAGTACGATAATGATAATCATCAAGGACTAGTTATCATTCATGGCAATAATATAAAATATATAATTTTCATGACGGTTACAGTTATGATGATATAGCTGTGATAGCAATAACAGTAGCTATAATAAATATCGTTGTGATAATGAAATTAATACTTAAATTAGGTACGTATTCCATACTTAAAACACGTGAGGGTTCAAAGACAGCATAAAGGTTTAAGAATTATTGGATTTAGTAATAACAGTACCTGCAAGAAGTATTGTTATGATAATGAAAAGTAAACAAAAATTATACATATTGTTATGATAATGAAAATCATACTCAAATTAAGTTCGTATTCCACAACCAAAACACACGTGAGGGTTCAACTTGCACACGCGAGAACCGCACGAAGATTTTGACAAGATCCAAGAAATATATAGGCCTAAAAAGTCTAAACTCCTATAAGAGGAGAGAGAAGACGAAGATTTAACAATTATTGGATATAGGGATCAAGTGTGTATGAATTCTAAATTGCAGTTTTACCAATAAGCGGACAGTATGTAGTATAAGGTAGTGGCAGAGTTGGGTAATAAAACCTACATGAAATGATAGAACAGTACAAACCAAGACAAAGTTCTTTGGCAATATGTATGCAAATCTTTCCCAAGGCTGCTATACGTAAAAGAAAAGAGAAAATCCCTAAATTTGGCTAGGCATATATATTACCACGGGGGTCCAGGGGGCAGAGCCGCTTGCTAGGGAATATATACCACGGTGTTAGGTTAGGTTGGGTGTTGGGTTAGGACGTTTTGTTTAACAACCATGGGGGTCCTGTTTTACCCCATAATTTTCCTGATATACTTCATGCCTTTCCCAGCTATCGGGACTATCAAATCAAAATGTCAATGGAGATGGGGATCATATCTCCTCAATGATTCATTTGCAAAAGGAACAATG